AAAACAAAAAACAAAAAAAAAAAACCACCACCTTTTCTGTAAAACAGCTATCTAGGAAAAGTTATTCTCTTCACAGAAGAAAGAAAACATTGCTCAAATAAGTATTTGAAAGAAATCTGTATTACTGGATATAATTAAATCTCATAAAGCCTTAATGACTTTCTGAAAGATAAAATTCCCCAGCAGCTTCTCAAAAATTCATGGAGGGCAAATCTTCTAGACATGTAGGAATCAAGGTTATTCTTGTGATCCATTACCTTCACAAGTGACATCAGGATCAGAAATAAGATGACCATCTCCTCTTTATGGTCTACTATAAACACACTTCATCTGCAGCTGAAAAAGCAGAAGTGTTGCTCTTTTTTGATGACTTTGGGAAGGATGTCCATGCTTGGCTACCTTTGGAGCCCTCAGCTGCCCCCATGCAGCAGCAGCTGGCTGGCACTCCCAACATGTGATTGTCTGCTGTTGAAAACTGTTATCAATAAAAGTTTGCTGTTTTCTTCCAAACACAATAACCTGTCCCAACCTGCGCCATTAGCCTCAACAGCTAACAAAAAACGAGGCTCTTGCAGCTGTTCCCCAGGAACTAATGGCCTGAAGCCATAAACTGCTACTTCATGCTAATCTCTCAATCTAAGAAACTTCGGGTCAGTTTATCTTTGGTAAGAGATCTCCAGGCACTAAAGGAAAGAAGTTGTTGAGTAATGTTCCTTCCTCTGGGGCTACTCAATCAGCACAGGACAATTATTGTGGAGTCTGGTCGCTCTAGTGAGGGATTAAGCCAGAGCAATGACCACTTACGGTCTTAAAAGACCCTATTACCTCTTTTTATTATATTGACATGGTTGTTCAGGCTAAATTCCAGTTTGGATAATCACATTCTGCTCTGCAATTAGAGAAGCAGTCTGGCAGGCAGGTAAATGTGGAGATGACCTTAGGAGACTGACTCAGCTCTACCTCTGTGCTTTGCAGCACAACTAATACCTTTGCTGTTATGTCTCTTCACATACTTCACACTTTTTCTGTGAGCCTTTCTTTTGCTTACCCAGCTGGAAAGCTAAAATATTTTCCTAATATCCTGCCTGAAAATTAAAGCAGTTACTTCTTGTCCCACTTGCAGTGGGCCTACAGAACAATTGGTCATTATGCACTTCCAAACCAAAAAAAAAAAATTCTTTTTCAATTGGACAAGTTTAAACGCACATCTCTTGTAACCTACTTCTTTTTTTTTCCTGTTTAAAGCAAGTCCTGGCTCTTTCAGGCTTTCCTTAGAGGTCCTTCCTCTACCCCTTCACATCTTTTCCTTCCCTTTGAGGTCATCAGCTTGGAGGAGTGCAGAACTAGCAATGCTCCAAAGAATAAATAATATCCAGCTCTTCGGCATTACACTGCTTTTTTGCAACCAAATCATAGCTGTGATTCACATTCGTAGAAGCTAAGACATTAGTCACAATCTGACAAGCCATTATTTGACTTGGGAATGAGTTTTCTCTTTCTGAAATTTCTCAGGTTTTCTTTAAGAGTTTTGGGTCTTGCTCATCAAGATGCAGAGTAACTCTCTATTCAAGCAGCATCCAAAGTTGTATAGATTTTTAAAGAAATCAGCGTGAAGACAATACACATACAAGTACGCCATGAAAATACCTAATACATTTGCTTTGTAGATGTGTAGAATTCAAAATGACTGAAGGCAAGTATTTTTATACCCATAGATGTGAAAGAGTATCCAAAACAACACCAGGTTCACTTGGGTATGTAGGTTCCATACTCCCCATCTTTCAATAACTCCAAGAGACAAAGATTCACTGCTGATACTACAGCTTTAAAATTGAATCTAGTGCTTTGCTTCTAGTCTCACAAAATGCACCATTTCAGAAAATACACCTATGGCTACAGCCCAGGGATGGAAGCATTACGCCAAGCCCACGTTCGGGGAACCCTGGACCGCAAAACCCAGCTAAACCTGGGCAGAACACAATAAGTCAAACTTCGGTTTTTATCAGAGAAACAGCTCTGAGACTGCGAGCTTCAGCAAGTAGAGCTACAGGAACCTAAAACATCTGCCCAGACTAAAATCTGATGGGTTTTGTTATTTGTTTTTTGTATGTAACTGCACTGCGCCATGTATAACTATTTTTTTCTCCTCCTACACGGAAATAAAGCTGTCCAAAAGTCAAGTAAATCCAACTTCTCCTAACCAGACTCATTGAAAAGCCTTCCTCCCCTTCTATTTCAGAACACAAGAACCTAACATAACTTTTTATCACAACCACTGTGATAAGAATTTGCTGTTATTTCAAATTCCAAATGCAACATTTTATTATTTTTTTAATTATCAGAGTCTGCAATGACATTTTCAAACTTCCCTCCCATACTGCTGCACTACGTGGATATGGATCTCACCAATACCTACTGCATGAGCAGGTACATGTCAGAATTCTAACTGCTTACATATAGCTGAAGTTTTGCTATATATTCCGTGTGTTCCCATAGCAACACTTAGCACCAGCAGAGTTTAGAGTCATTTTATAAACATAAATCTCTTGATAATAGGATGAAGGGGAATAGTTTTAAATTGAGACAGAGGAGGCTTAGGTTAGGTATTAGAAGGAAGTTTTTCCACACAGAGGGTGGTGACACACTGGAACAGGTTGCCCAAGGAGGCTGTGGATGCCCCATCCCTGGAGGCATTCAAGGCCAGGCTGGATGTGGCTCTGGGCAGCCTGGTCTGGTGTTTGGCAACGTGCCTGCAGCAGGAGGGTTGAAACTACATGATCATTGAGGTCCGTTTCAATCCAGGCCATTCTATGATTCTATCCTATCAATTTTTGACTATTATTTGTCAGCAAGACCAACAGCATCTGGTTTTCAGTGATTTTCAATTAGCATTCTTTGTGCCTGAACACCAAGTGCTAAGGGAAAGACACTTGTAACCTTGGTGGCAAAACCTTTTCATCTGCCATGCAGTCACTTTCTCCACTGACACAAATTTATCAGCAATCACAAATAAAGCATGTTTACACCAGCAATTTATTGCAGACACAAGGACCATTTTACGAGCTAACTCCCATCCTTCCCACCCTGTCTGGGTATGGTTTTCCTCCCTTTTCATGCTGTTTGCTTGACTACAGCTCTGCTTCAGAAAGCTTTAACATGATTCCAAGTAGTCAACAATAATTTCCCTGCACGTCACTGCAATTTCTTTTACATGGCCAGAAAATAAAATGTTCAACTAGACTTGTGGAAATATTCTATTCATCTGTCTTTTGTTTTACGCCAGTGATGTAAGTGGAAGCAGAGTTGTAATGAAATGGCACTGAGAAAACACAGCAAAGCTGGCTCTCACTGATTTTTTTTATTACTGCCATCCCGCTGGCTCACACATCACAATATATTCCAACAACAGCAACAAAACCACCAGTGGGGGAAAAACACTCTTGAAAGCCTCTGCAGACTCCAGAAATGGACTGACAGTGCTTTGCAAACAAACAGAAGACAAAAAAGCATCTAAAAACCGTGGTGAAATGCAGTCACAACCTGGCACAGCTGAGCTGCCTGGCCCTTGCTCTCAGGGTTCCACCCCTCTTCCCCGGCCCAAATCTCTGTGTCCTAGCCAGGTGTCTTTCTACATGGGTGGAAGGATGCTGATGCAAAGGGCCACGTGGTGTGCACTCTCATATTGCTGGTTCTCAACTTAGGACTGCCTCAGAAAAATAATAATGTTGGTTTAGTGTTAGCTTTACTTTGGTCTCCTGTGTTCAATGCCACACTTAGTGCATGCTTTCAAAAAACTACTTGAATTCACATGATTACAACTGTTTTTCATATGAATGCTGAAATTATTTCATAATTCAAATCACAGAACGGCTCAGGATAGAACAGATCTCAAAGCCCACCCAGTCCCAGCCTGTGCTGTAGATAGGGCTGCCACCTCCCAGCTCAGCTGCCCAGGGCCCATCCAACCTGGCCTCGAGCACCTCCAGGGATAGGGTATCCACAGGTTCTCTGGAATTACAGTCAATCAAAATCTGGAGGTTGGGGAAATACAAAGTAACTTAACCTCAAAATCAGAAGAACTGACACTGCAAGACCCAGGCGCCTCAACCAGGTGTCTACATCACAGCACACTGCAAGGCCAGTAGTCCTTACAGAATCATTAAGGCTGGAAAAGGCCACTAAGACCATCTAGTCCAACCATCAGCCCATCCCCCCCATGCCTACTAACCACATCCCTCAGTGCCACATCTCCACATTTCTCGAACGCCTGGAGGGATGGTGACTCCACCACCTCCCTGGGCAGCCTGTGCCACTGCCTCATCAATCTCCTGAAGAAGAAATTTTTCCTAACATCCAACCTGAACCCCCCTTGGTGCAACTTGATGCCATTCCTTCCCAGCCTATCGCTGTTACCCAGAAGAGGCCAACCCTCACCCACCGCAACCTCCTTTCAGAGAGCTGAACGAGCACAGTAAGGTCTCCCCAAGCCTCAAACAATGGCACCACACGACAATGCCTTCCTCACTTCTGGCAGTGCTGGAGGAACGTGGCATTCAATAATTTCCCCTTCCAAACCATCCAGGAAAACTGGGGCAGAACCAGAACTTCCCTTTCTCCAACACAGCTCCTCACGGAGGAAGAGGCAAAACTCTAAATTCAAACCACCCCAGAGTTCACTCACCAACTCAGCTCTAAATAAGCTTCACTTTAACACCAGCACCACGCTCGGCCCATTCCACAGAAGCCTATGGCTTTACTCTTGCTAAGGCAGCAGCTATTCACTCTGCTCAGGCCCCAGCTCTAGGGATAAGCAGTGCGATTCCCACACGGCCGTTCCAGCTTCCTCAAGCGCCAGCTCCGCACAAAGCATCAGCCCCGACAGCAAGGCTGCTAAGAACACCCCACGACAAGGATCCCAATTCTCTCGTTCCTTCCAGAAACCAAGCGTCGCACCCGCGAGCTGGGGCTGCCCCAGGCCCCCCCGCCCGTCCCTGCCCTACCTTCCTGCCCGGCCGGCCGCCCCGCCGCCCGCTCCGCACGTAGGTCACCCGCCGTCGCCCCGAGGCCGCCGCCGTGCCGCGGGGCTGAGGGACCGCCCGCCCCGACGCCGCAACGGCGGGCAGCCGGGGTCTCTCCTCCGGGCACCACGAACGCCGGACGGCCAGCTGCAGGCACAGCAGCAGCGCGGCCGAGAGCACGCAAAGACGGAAAGCCGCGCCCCGCCACAGCGGCCGCTCCTTGGGCATCGCGGCCCCGCCGCAGGGCTCATGCCGCCGGCGGGTCGGGCCCGCGGCCGGCCTGAAAAGTGGGGAAACCCCGCCCCGAGCGGGGCCGGCCGGGGAGGGGCCGCGCTGCCCCCCGAGCACCGAGGCCCGTCGGGGGAGGGGGCGGCGGTGGCTCAGCGGGTGCGTGGGGCCGGGAGAGGGGCTGGCGGGTGGTAAGGCTGTGGGGCAGGTCTTAAGAGCAGGAGCGTGAGGAGCAAGGCTCGAAGAGTGGGAAGATCCCGAACTCACTTTAGAACTTTTGTCAAAGTCAAAAACTTGAGAAATTGGGGCTTTGGGGAAAGCTTGAATTTGTTCTCCGAAAGAGTGGTCAGGCACTGGAATGGGCTGCCAGAGAGGTGGGGGATCGCTGCCTCTGAAGGTGTACACACGTGTAGATGTTGTAGTAAGGCACATGATTTAGTGGGGAAATACTGGTGGGAGGTGGATGATCCTGGAGGTCTTTTCCAACCTTGGTGATTCTGCAGTTCTATGATTGCCCTCCCAAAACGCTAGTTAACGCATTCTGGGAGGATGCTGCTGAAAGCCACCCTGATAAAGAACACTTTGTGAATTTCACTCAATGTTTTCTTCTTGCTTTTGTATTTTAACCAGCTACTGAATCTCTTGTTGCTCTCCCCCATCTCTTTTAAATGCAAGTCTGTCTGTTAAGAACCAAATGGGGATTCCAGAGACAGAGAAAAAGGGAGCATTGGTAGAGAAGGATCTGAGGAAATACTGGGAACAACTGGAAGCCTTATCTGGGCTAGCACAACACAGTGGGAATTAAGGTGGTACCTTCATCAGTTGCACCTCTCCAGCATCCTCTGTTTTGACAAGTGAGTTATGAACTAATTTCTTCCCCCAGGAATCAGCTGCAAAGACACCTGACTGTGAGCAATTCCTATTAAGAAGAGAAGCAAATTAGAATTTCAGCATAATGTTTTCAGCTCCAGTTTGACTAGGGGAATGATCTCAGCCCTTTTGAGATGGTTTTTGGGAAATAGAGCCAAGCGAATTTCCAGAACTTCTGCAAAATGTGCACTTTCTGGGACAGGCAGCAAATGGCCTCCCGTCCCTATTGTCCCCCAAGAAGATGGATAGCCTTAGGGGAAAATACATTGTGCTGGATCCAACAGAGAACATACAGCAAGGAGTAACAGAAACATCAGCTTTGAGCATGGAATACCTACTGAGAGCAGGGAGCGTTCGTTATGCCTTTATCTACACTAGTAGATAGTGATAGGACAAGGGGGAACGGTTTTAAGGAGGGGAGATTTGAATTGGATGTTAGGAGGTAAATTTTCACTGGGAGGGTGTTGGAAGTCTGCCCAGAGGGGTTGTTCAAGGCCAGATCAGAGGGCCCTGGGTGATCTGATCCAGTACCTGATTTAGTAGTTGGTGACCCTGCCCACAATTTGGAACTGAATGATCTTTGAGGTGCCTTCCAACCTGAAGCATTCTATGATTCTGTGCTTTATAACTGACATCAAACATGAGCCCTGCACTTTACTTTCTGTATACATAGCACAAATTGCTACAGCTCACTTCATTTCACCAGAAGAAGTCTTTAAATATATAACATTCCTCCAGAATTTACAAATTGTCCTAGCAACAGAGCAGTAAACTTCTGGAGGGGAGAAGTTTAGTGACAGTGGGAATTACTTGCTGCAGTCCTGTGTTTTGCTCAGAACTTATATCTCGTCTGGGATATTGTTGTGTAGCAAAATCTCTGCTGACACTGGCGAGTTCTCCATTATAGCACAACAAACTTCAGCAGATCACATCGTAGTTCAAAGAGTCCTAAAGGTCGTTGTGAAGCAAGTACTCTATTGGGCTGACTACCACTGCCAGAATCAGCATCTGTTGGTTGGGCTCATCCAAACAAGTCCAGGTGAGGCTCCTCTTGCTCCAGAGGACTTGGAGGCTGAAACCACCTGCAGCCAGCTGAAGAAAAAGGTTGATTTTGTGCTGGGTTTAAGAAAACCTGAAAAGCTGAGAGCCACAAGGCTGTAGGTTTGTGAACGTCACAGGAAAGGCAAGATAAAAACAAATTCCTTCGGCTTTCCCTTGCCAACTCCCTTGCAGCAGTCCTTAAATGCTCATCTCCCTTATGGCCATTCTCAGCTCAAACCCTGTGCTTTCCACCACCCATCTTCAGCCCCACCCAGCTTCGTGGCCTGCATCTGCCTTCTGGCTTGGAATGACGTCTGTCTGCCCAAATCTCCAGGCAGAGCTAAACTCCAGGCAGGAAAAATACCACTGGGAATTCACTGGATTCTCCAAGGGCTGCTAATGGAAGTAAAACATTCCTTCTATAAAACAAGTGAATGAATAAAAATGCTGTTTTCTGCTTGGCTTAACAGCCCCATTTGGCATGAGCCTTTTGCCAAAATCTACAGGACAGAGCGAAGGACGCTCTTTTTTCCATGCTTGAACCGGAAATGCTGGTAGTAGTCATTCATGCACAAGGTGACAGACCTTTGCAGGAGCTCTACTTAGAGCTCTGTACTCTAAATCCTACTTACAGCTCAGTGAAAGCATTCTGTGCCAGGGTCACAGGCAGAAGCACTTTCTCCTCTCTCACAACAAAGAGCCAAACAACATGGCTTGAATTTCAAACATGATGAAAGGGATATTTGATAACTAATGGTTCAAAAAGGGGATTTGAGATCAAGGCTTACCTCTGAGCAATGCTCTGGGGCATCTCTTCCCGCAGGTATGAGTACCTGTGTGTGTGCCCATGTTCATGCTGAAGACAACCAGGAGGATCTTCAGAGAGATCTCCTGCAGCTCTGCTGTCCCCAGCCCTTACATTTGTTTACTCAAGTCTCTGCCTTGTGCTATCCATAATGAGGCCATTGCCTCCAGCAATCAGTATTTCACTCCCAGAAAAGAACAACAGGGATTTTACCTTCTGCCTGGTACTAAATTGTGTAATCATTCTGAGTGAGCAAAACTGCTTTGCAACAGCAGCAAAGTCTGACAATCTCATCAAACAGATCCAGTCTACACATTGAAAGCATGTATTGCTGTTTTTTTTTCCAAAGACGTTTCGGTTTAGAGGAATCAATTAGGGATATCTCATATGCAGTTCACATGCTATTGCAGAAATATTTCTGTGATACTAGCTTGTTGTCTGCATTCCCCCTGTATCTATACTGCAATGCCAGTCAGATGTCCGGCTTTGCTTAAAAATTACTCCAAATTCCTATTACGAACTCTTCGGTATGCTGTAAGGATTATAGTGGTGATGCACTGGGTGCTGCTTTCTCTCTCCTTTTATTTGTTCATTTATTTATTTGGATACAATCAATTTTACAGGTATTTTTGCTCTTCTGAACTTGAGGATGAATATCTCTCATTTTAAAAATGGAATTTGTAAAAGGGATTAATCCATAATGGTCAGAATTCTGCAACATATCAGAGCTAGAGTAAAAATTATGGCTTCAAGAGGTTATGTAAGCCTTTTTACAACATGCTGTTAATGGGCTTACACTATGTGCAAGTGCCAGAATATTTATACCAGGTGACAGTATACAGTATACACTGGTGAGAATGCTGGACATCACAGCCTGATGGTGAAGGGACCCCCATCTGCACACCCAGGGAAGAGCTCTCCAAGAAAGAAGGCTTGCAGGGTGCAGTCCTGGGGCTGCTCAGCAGCAGAGAGCCAGGCAGCAGTTCCACAAACAAATTAAGAGCCGTGACTGATGCGCTGTGTGTTTTTTCTGTTTCGGTGATGTTGTTTGATACACTGGCGTGTGTCACTACCATCTATACCTCATTAAAGGCAATAGGATAAAATAGAAGCTGGAAGAGGCTGGTAGCATCTCTGATGGATATGTTGGGTAAAAAGCAGTGAGATTCTACAGAGAGAAGGCGTGCAAAAATGTCCAGGCCAGTTTAAAAATACACATCCACCTTTCATAAAGGTCTCACCCACCCAGGAATGTGTTGCATGTATCCAGGACACTAAATTCCATATCACTGCCTTTATGCATAACAAAAAGCTTGCTCTTCTGAAATATAATCATGTGGTCAGCCAGACCTCCCCTCCTGCTGGCTGCATTTTAAATGGCTTATCAGAATCCTAGTGATGAGGAGATAAAAGTCCTGGCCAGCATGCTGCCAGCACAGCTAGGACCAAGAGGGGAGGATAAAAGCTTGCACTGTTCCTGCAGGCTGGAAAAGCAGGCAGCTTGCCCTCAGTGCTATGTGGAGCAGCTATGTGTGCAGGGATATCGCTGCTGGTTTGAAGAGAAATAACCTCCTTAGCCGATGGTTTGTATCTAGGTTAGGTGTTACTGCAGGGGATGTACTTTTGGCAGGTGTTTGCCCACAGCACATTTATCCTTGTCATGGACATAGAAAGCAGAGGTCAGCCAGTTGCTTTGAAGGGATGCTGGGAAGGATGAGGTGAGTTTGTGAAGATTTCGTACCTCTGCAGAGTGACCCAGCTGGCACTGCACAGCGAGAAACATTTAACAGGGCTTCTACCCGCCCCACAAGACAGAGGAGGACCTGCCACCCCAAGCCACATTGGGCTCATGGGAAGAAACCTCCTGGCTGCAGCCCAGGGCATCGCAGCAAGCAGGGAGCAAACCCAGCACAGAAACCTGCAGTACAGCAACTAGAAAGGCAAATTTTCCTACAGCATGACAGTATGGCTGAGGTGGGATCAAACCTCTGAATCCACAGATTTGACCCTGCCTGAACAGGGACCCCTCCAGCAGGGTGCCCGGCTCTCATCCAGGTAGCTTCCGAAGATCCCTCAGAAGGAGACCCCACAGCCTCTGGGCAGCCTGTTCCTGTGCTCTGTCATCTGCACAGCACAGCAGCGCTGCCTGGTGCTCAGAGAGAGCCTCTTGTGTTTCGCTTTTTGCCTGTAGCCTCCTATGAAATCAAGGACTTCTTGCTCAGTCCTTGTGCTGGACTGCTCAGCCTTATAGCACTAAGACAAACATCAGTAAGATTGCTCTCAG